TTCCTGAGACTCAGGCAAGCACTCTAGAGAAATTATTTTCCTCCTTTTTAAAAGATTTTTCATTTTTTATTCAAAAGGCATGTTGTCAAAGAGAGAGAAGGAGAAATAGAGAGAGAAGCTCTTCCATCCGCTGGTTTACTCCCCAAATGGCCACAATAGCCAGAGCTGAGCTGATCTAAACTGGGGATGAGGAGCTTCGTCTGGGTCAATCACGTGGGTGCTGGGTCACAAGGACTTGGGCCATCCTCTGTTGCCTTCCACGGCCATAGCCAGGGAGCTGGATCAGAAGTGAAGCAACCACAATGTGAACTGCCATCCATATGGGATGTCAGTGCCACAGGGCAGAGGATTAGCTTGCTGTGCCACTACACTGGCCCTGGGTGATCTCCCTTTTCACTCTCTTTTCCCTCCATTCTTATGACTAACTTGCTCCAAACTGCTTTCAATACTAATATTTTGAGAATTTTTCAAACTTGCCACTGAATCAGATGTTGAGGTTGCTATAGAAGAAGGCCAATAAATTACCTTGCCCTCCTTGAGCAAACCTTCCTAAAAGGTAAGATCACAATGGTTCATTGTCATGACAAGCCAGAAAGAAAACTAGTGGCTTCCAAAAATATATAAGTTTGGGTTCTTTCAGGCCCAATTTCCTAACTTCAAAAGGAAACTATTCTCTCAATCCTAAGTGTGTTTAATGCACAGTACTTCTCAGTGTGGATTGAAATGATCAAGCAAAGTTGCATGAAGGCCCTGAGTCATAAAGTGTTCCATGTAGGCAGGTTGAACTCCAACAGTGAGGTGTGCTGGGGAGAAAAAGCATCAGTTCTGACAACAGTTTAGGGAGTTGTAGAGTGATGGGGTTTGTCAGTCCCAGAGGAGAAAGAACTGCCTTGGTATTTGAAGAGTAGATGTTGGGGAGTGAAACACTGGTGTACGCAGCACAGAGTGGAGAACCCCAGGGGAGTTGCAAGGACCTTGAAAGAGTCCCAAACAGGACAAACAGGAGCTGATGTCATAAAGATGTCTTTTTTTTTTAAACAAAGTTGGTCAAGAAATTAGGGAAAGGTGAGAGAAAAAAAGTCAAAGGTAACTCAAGCATCTGAGAAAGAATTCTGAATTAAGGCAGGAGTAATGTTACAGACTTGAGTAAGTTGTTGATTTATTCATTGGTATGAACTTTAAAGAGAGAAATCTCAGAGAACTCCAAATTCAGAGGTCTGGGAGGCATGCAAAAATAGGGACACCTGAGATTCAAGATTACAACAAGTGATGAGCTAGCTTTGAGATTTGTGGAGTTGGGAAATGTCAGGAAATTCAAATAGAAATGTCCAGCTCTTAGGCCTAGGCTCCTTGTTGCTGTCCCGTCACTATGGCAACATTGTCCTGTCACCTTCAGGCCTAAAGGACTGTCTCTCCGTTGCTCCTGAACACAGCATCCTGCTAATTCCATAAAGGCAGTCTCTGTTTGGTTTTAAATGTGACCTTCCTGTAATTTATATTAACACCTACACCTGATTTTTTATTGAGTTAGCCTGAATTTTATATCTGCAGTGGTTGAAAGAGAGTAATGGGAAATCAAGACATTATCCATTTTTCATTTGTTCTACAAATATTTACTGAATATTTACTTTATGCTTAGCTCTGTGCTAGGCATTTGGCATCCAAATATGAGTTAAAAAAAAAAAAACTAACCTCCTTTGTGTTGGGGCAGAGAGGATGGCAAAAGGGTTAACAAGAACAAGAAAAAGAAGTGCAAGATTTTTTTTTATAAAGGTATTTTAAAACATTTACTTTATTTATTCAAAAAGCACATACACACAACCCACAGACACACATGCACAGAAAGAGAGAGACAAACAGGGAGATGAGAGAGACACAGAGAAATCTTCTGCTCATTGTACATTTTTCAAACAGCTACCATTGCTTTCCTAAGCACAGTAGCGGGGAGCTGCATTGGAAGTGGGTCGGCCAGGACTCAAGCCAGTGCTACAATATGAGATGCTGGCATCACAGGCAGGCAGGCGCTCAACCTACAGTGCTGTATGCTGTCCTCAAGCGCAGGATTCCTGGAACATAAAACAGGGAAATGCAGAGAATTCTGCGTGGTGCCTGGGGAGGTTTCAAAAAGAAGCAGAATTTAAATGAAACTCTAAAGGAGCTCATTCAGGGCAAGCTGCTTGTGGCACAGTCATAGAAGGTGTCTCTTAGGTGGCATTTTGTGAATGAGCCATTTGGGGGTGTCCAAGGAGGGATCCAGAGAGTTGGGAAATAAGCCTGAAGCAGGCATGGGATTGGACTTCTCTATCCAGGGAAGCATTCTGGCTAATTCATTGCAACTCCCATCCCACAGGGACTTCTAAGCTGATCAGAGTTGGTTCTGACTCATGCTATCTAAACTTGCAAGGCATTAATGAATATGAGCCTGCATAGCTGTTTGTTAATTTTCATGAGAAATTACAGTATGTATGTGTCATACAGAGTAGAGATTGACAGCTAGGAGATGCTGGCTCATGCTAACTAATCTCAAAGGCATGAATAAATGCAAGGCAGCAAGTCGGTGTGCTAATTTTCTATGAGAAATCAAGTCTATCTGACAAGCAGACCAAAGATTGACAGCCTCCCCTCTCTGTGGGGGGCGGGCTCTCCGGAAGTCCAATCACCCTCGAGTTTGCTGAGGATCAGAGGGAACAGCAATTCCATGACCTAAAGGTTTACAGACCTCATGTTCTGTGTCTGGCACCTCCCATGTCTTTTGCCATGGGCAGGCTTGGTGGGGTTGTCAGGGGAATGGGACAACGTGGCAACCTGGCTCAGAGCAATCTCTGCTACGAAAGTCAGCAATCCCCTGGTTCTCATAGTCTTTTGAATGTATGAACGCTAATTATAGCTTCAGAGGAAACCATTTGCTGCAGGTTCTCCGTGGCACCAGTTTGCTGTTTTCAGGCCCACACACACTGACAAGCTCATTGGGGATGTTGGGTTGTCAGTAGCAGACTCCTGCCTTTAGGGGCAACAGTACTGAATTCAGTGAGAAACTGAGTAAAAAGCATGCTAGTTTTGGAACATCAGTTAAGTCGTATTGCTAAGATTAAGGTTTATACCTACACACCTCCTCTCTTCACTCTGCCTGGGCCTGTGTGGGTCTGGAAAACCTTCCCCTGTCACTGAGGTGTAGTGTGCTCAGGGTCTGGCCTTATGTATACTCAACTTTGCTCAGTCTGGACACTCCATGTGGTGGGCAAAATAATGATTCCCAGAGACATTCACTGCATAAAGCCTGTGAGTACAAATTCTACATGGCAAAGGGATTGGTGTGATTGGTGTGATCCATTTCAAAGTCTGGATTATCAGGGTACATCATAGCAACAGGTGTCCTCAGCAGGGAATGAAGAGAGTAGCTGCATGAGAGAAGCTGTGAGAAGAGAAGCAGGTCAGAGATGTGAGGATGCTACTCTGCTAGCTTTGAAGATCATGGAAAGGACAGGAGCCAAGGAACATGATAGCTTCCAGAAGCTGGGAAAGGAGAGGAAGTCGATTCCATCCTTTCTGGAGCCCCAAGGAGACACAAAGTCCCACTGAATCTTGACTTCAGGGCTTTCGACACACAGAACTGTAGGATGATGCATTTACGTTGGTTAACACTATTACGCTTGAAGGCAGTTTGTTAAAACAACAGGAAACTGAAATACTGGGCTTCTCCTGTCCATATCACTCTGCACATATAAGAAAACTAGTGGGCAAAAGACAAGGATCACATGTTTAGGCAAGGCAGGAGTTAACATTTTTCACAGAGTATAGTGTTAAAATCCCCACATGGAGGTAAGCATTTATCCTAGTAGTTAAGATGCCTATTAAGGCATTCATATCCACATTGGAGTGCCTGGGTTCAGTATTTGGTTCCAGCACCTAGCTTCAGCTTCCTGCTGAACAGATCCTGGCAGACAATGGGTGATGGCTTGAGTGACTGGGTGCTTTCAACTCACAAAGGAAACCTACATTGAATTCATGGCTCCCGGGTTCTGCTATCCCAGTCTATGTCATTATGGGCCTTTAAAGGTGGTCAGGAGGGGGAGGGGGAAAAAATGGGGGTGGGGGTGGGGAGAAGAGGGAATGGCAGGCGGGGAAGAGGGAAGAGCTGTGTGATGCAAATTTGTAGATGGTAGCTCTTAGTCTGTTTCTCGCTGTGTTTCAAATAACAAAAAATTTTAAATTAAAATTCTCCAGTTCATTGTTTGCTGTGCATAAGTGGAGATGCCATGCCCTGGGCCAAAATTACAGCTCCATCATCATTGCCTGGGTCTGACACAGCCCTCCTGGGGTACTGATGAGGACATGGGCTTCCTTTTAAAGCTGGCTGTTCATATCAACTCTACAGGGGCCTTCAGTGAGATGAGCAATAGGTCCGAGAGTCTCATCATGATGCAGGTTTCGTATCAAGATGCACAATCAACTGACTGGAACAGGAAATAATTAATCAGGACATTACAGAGCAGTTAAGTATAATTAATTCATACAAAAGAATGTGAGTGTGCAGTTTCAGCTGCCAGAGTGATTTTATTTCCCTGTAAATTTAGTTCAAGATAAACAAACATTAGAATAATCTTCTGAGATTTTTCATGATTCATGTTTTATTTTTTTCTTTTCTAGTTACCAAAAATATTATTAATACTTAGACTAACAATTTTAAGCTGATCGTGCTCTGGGAAAAGTGCATTATGCTTCTGAAAGGTGAAAAATTAACTCTGTCATTGAAATAACTTCCTGCATGTGTTCATGTTGTGTGTGTGTGTGTGTGTGTGTGAGGGGGTGGGAGGCACTTTAGGAGAAAAACAGTTGGTAGTGAAGAAAACCTGAAGGAAATTTTCACTTCTGCCCAAGCATGCTAAAATTTAAATAGAATGAATAAATAATCATGATTGTGAAAATACCATCTGAGAACATGACTGAACCCCAATAGTTAATTTGTGGGGTTTCTTTCCTTAATCTTTTCCCTCCCTGAAGCCAGGGGGTCTTTAAAAGGAAAGAGGCAAACAGTGTACAGCATATTAATTACCTGTAGCAGCAGGATTCTTGGTCTTCAGGCCAGTCGACCTGTCATGGTTGGGACACACAGAAAGCCAAGAGATTTGCCCTGTGACCAGGAATTTCTGTAGAGGTGGAAAAATTCATCATGCAGGAGTGTTCGAAGGTACATTTTCTCCCTTTTGTGGCTCCAGAGAGTGTAGTGCGCTGTGTCGAGCTAGAAAAACACAAATTGGGTTGGTGTGATGGATGGTTGTTGTTTAGAAGGCAGATCCATCAAGGCCTCAACAGGAGAGGGGCTCTAGAATGGCTTTCATAGGACCAGTGAGGGCCTCTCTCTCCATGATGGATGGCTGTAGAGTATTGATTTGCTTCCCAGACTAACCTGTTCATAAATGACAACCAAAGAAAGGTCATACAATGTCCTATCATGTGACAAATATAGACATGCTTTGATTTCTGATCTGATTCACTGAGTAATGATGCTCCAGTTTCTTAAAAGTCTTAATTCTTGCTGTTGGAACTTTGAAGCTCTTCAATCTCCACCTTTGCTGCGGAATGTGGCTTTCAAGATGAAAGCCATGACCCACCAATGGATTTTGAAATAAATTTAGTGGGTCACAACCAGGATTTTTTTTTTTACAACAGAATAAAATAGGAAAGGAAGTATCAGGATATATCAAGGTTAGCTAGGATAAGTTTATTAAACTTTAGTTTCAGAAATAATATTGTTATATCTATATGATATCCTGCATAGACTTATTTGCTTGCTTACACATTTGTGTATCCTTGGCTGTGATGAAAAGTTACTAAATTTTTGGAAAGCAAATGTGAAGTTGGTCTAATCTAATGATTGTTTTATCTGCAGACATACAAATCAAAGTATAATGGAGTTAGTCTGTCCTAAGAAAAGAAATGGCCAAACGATACCCAGAGGCAAGCCAGTAGTAGTCGCTCTAATCCCTAGAACTGCTTGGAGTCCAGTTGAGGTCTCTAGGAGGTCTGCTTGTACACAGGGTTCTTTCTCTGAATGCCTACAGAATAGATTTCTTTTTCTTTTCACTACATGATGCGACTTCCCAAATGCCAATTGAGACATAATGTGATACACTAACTAGGAAATGTGTGCAGTTACCAAAACCCATACAGAAGTAGATTGTGTGGCCAAGGGGAGAAAGACCTGTTGTTGAAGTGTGACAATAACTTTGTGTGCTACAAGTAATAGAAATGGGTAAGAAATGTTGGTGATGATGGTTCAAATCATGATGAGTGCTAGATGCTATCACACATTGTACTTCTGCATATTCAAGTCAGAGTTCAAATTATCTATTTAAAACTGGAAATAATGCTTCTGTCTAAAAGTGCATGCAATCGCTTCTCCCTCACCCACAGTTTTTCTTCTCCCCCTGCTCTGCTTTTCTTGTTGTTGCTAAATGAAAACAGGCGCTCACATAACGCTGTTTTGTTTAGTGAGGTTGCTGTCACACCCCTCTCACATCACTGCAGAACATGCTGTCCTCAAGCTTTCTGTTATGGGGTGCACTTTGGTGGCTATGACTTAAACAATCATCATTAATAGTTAATAGTTTCCAAACAGAGAGATGGCCAGACATTGTACACCTCCTAGTGAAAGAGAAAGCAGAAGCAAAGGAAACATATTGAACAATAGCACAGGAGTTCCATCAACATCAACAGAAATCCAAAACAGGAATCTCTGTCATGACAATAAATGGGTGAAATACCATGGTCCCTCTTTGGATCCCAAGGGAAATACACTGCTGAAAAATGAAAACAGAGAGACTGTATTAGGCTAATCAGGGAAATGTAAAAAGCAATGGATATTGGTAACATACTATCAATCCTGACTTTTGGGAGCTGTGATGACTTTTAAGGAGTGTGATGATGCTGCTATAGTTGTTTTTTAAAAGGTAGTCTTTAGGGAGGCTGGCACCATGGCAACAGTAGGCTGAGCCTCTATCTTTGGCATCAACATCCCATATGGATGCTGGTTCCTGTCCTGGCTACTCACTTCTGCTGCAGTGCCCTGTTAGTCCAGCTCCCTCAGAAAACAGAGGAGGGTGGTACAAGGCTTTGGATTCCTGTGCCCACATGGGAGACCCAGAGGAAGCTACTGGCTTCAGATTGGCTTGGCTACAACCATTGCAGCCACTGAGGAGTAACCCAGCAGACGAAAGATTCTTTCTCTCTTTTTGTCTCTCTCTGTAATTCTCCCTTTTAAATTTAAAAAAGTTTTTGTCTTCCACAGATACACACTGAAAAATTTACTAAGAAAATGCTCTGATGTGTGATATTGTCTTCAAAATAATTTGAAGCAAGCAGAGTGGAGAGGGCATTAAATAGGCCCTGAATTGAGAATACTGAGGTTGTGTGTAAGCAGTTCATTTTAATATACTGTATACTTCTGAAGATAGTTAAAATTTTCTCTAGAAAAAACCTCAGTATCTATTTTATTCAGAATTATTTGTCCTTTTGACAAATGTATCTTGAATTCCTACTGAAGACTAGTATTAAGCATATAGTATTTTTCTGGCCAAACTCCTTATCACTACTTTACATCTTCTAAGTTTTCATTGATTTGGGGACACGCAATTGTTTTCAGTCAGCTTTTAAGTCTCTTAACTTGAAGGTCAGTGTTCACATTCAGTGGGAGTGGGGAGAGAATAGACTAATAAATATACCAATCGTACACATTGATTTTTAGAAGATGCTCTTATTTCCAAATTATCTATGTATGCATCTAAGAATCAAGACCAGGTGGTAATTTCTATTTCCTATGGATCTAAAGCAAATATTTGCTTGTAAAACTTGAGGGAATTGTAAGAGAAAATATTATTATATGGAATGTAGCTGTGGTGTTGATCCTTCATGTTCTGTTTGCTTTTTTCAGTGTATCAGATCTCAGCCATCAAGTTGAAATAGGTTAATCTGGTCTTATCACCAGCCGAATGCCTCAGTCAACTAGAAAAAGAAGCTGATACAGAAGAAACTTGGGTATGAAGTTTAGAAATGCAACTGTACAAACTAAGTTTGCTTCCCAGGAGTCAAGAGGAGCTCAATAGGCTAGGATCAGAAAAGGTTTCTCAAGCACAGCCTTCTATGGCACAGCTATGAAGAACAGTCAGGGTTCTGAGCCAGGGCAACTGGACTGAAACCTGCCTATCTTAGCTATTAACTAAGCAGCCTTGAATATGCCTCTGACTCCCTGATCCTTGTACTTTGTAGATAAAACAAGGCTGAAATTCAAACCTGCTCTTGAGTGTTGTGGAATTTAAATGACTGACAACATACCTAAGGCACTCAGAATAGTGTTAGGATATAGATATTTAAATTCTTCTTACCACTTCCCAGTAACTCAGATTAAACTCCACTAGCACAGAAGTTAGGTGGGAGCCTTTAGCCCAGAGCTATTGGCTGGTACCTGGTCATTCTACCAAGTAATTCTTTGGCAAACCCATTGCCAAAGAATTGATGTGGATGATGTTCCAATTTAGGCTACTTTAGCAAAAAAATGCAAATCAGGTGGCTTCAATGCTTATTTCTCACAGGCCTAGAAGTTGGAAAAACCCAAGGTCAAGGGGGAATATCTAGTATGTGGTGAGGGTTCCCTTCCAGGTTTGTAGATGGCTTTCCTCATTTAACTTCACAAGATGGGGAGACAGAAATCTCATGTCTTTCTCTCCTTTAAACAAAGGTATTAATTGCATTAAGAAATCCCCACTTTCATGTCCTAATCTGATCTTAATACACCCTGGGGCTCCACCTGCAAGTGTCTTCTTACTGGGGTTGAGGCTTCAGCACAGGAATTTGATGGCAGGGAAGGGGGCATTGCTATTCATCCACAGTAAGTGATCTGACTGCCTCTACTTGGAGCTTCAGACATAGAAGCCTCAGGAATTTCCCACGATTTCCTTCAGATCTGACTCAGACTCAGCAAATGAGCATGCTCCTCATGTAGATACAATGGCCTTGGGCACAGATTCTGGGGAGATGTGTGTTTATTTTGGCATGTAGAACATAGTAAGTATGCATCAAATAATTGAGTGCCTATGACTGAAGAACAGCATCCTGGGGTTCTCAGCTAGGATTGCACTTTATTTTTTTAAATATTTATTTTTATTTTTATTGCAAAGTCAGATATACAGAGAGGAGGAGAGACAGAGAGGAATTTCTTCCATTTGATGATTCATGCCCCAAGTGGCCGCAATAGTCAGAGCTGAGTTGATCCAGGGCCAGGAGCCAGGAACTTCTCCAGGTCTCCCACACGGGTACAGGATCCCAAGGCTTTGGCCGACCTCGACTGCTTTCCCAGGTCACAAGTACAGAGCTGCATGGGATGCGCTGGTGTTAAAACTGGTGCCCATATGGGATCCCAGCACATTCAAGGTGAGGACTTTAGCCGCAGGGCCTGGATTGCATTTTAGCTGCAGCAGTGCCTACAGGGACGGTTTTTCACTGTTTCTACGATGCTTCTGTAACCTGACATACTAAGATGTAAACACCCAGGCAGAGCAGTCTTAGTGTCACCTTAGAGCTTATGTCTGCATCTATTAATTTCTCTGTACTGGGGACCATGCAGCACAAAACATCCACAAGTTAGAAAAGTGGGACTTTTTCTGGTTGGCTAGCATTTTCCACAAGTAGCCTATGCCATGATAAAGACTGCAAGATGCAACTCTTTGTGCTCAGCCCAGGGCTGGCAGTGACCATGTCATCAGGCAGTGAGCCCCAATTGGCTTCTCCCCTACATGATCTGCTAGAGGAGGAAGAGGCTGGGAGGAGCAAGCCAGCTCAGGTCTGGAGGGCTCGTGTGTGTGCGTATTTAATTCAAGCTGGAAGAACAAGGAAGTCTCTGTCCTTCCACAAGGAAAAGTTTGCTTCTCAATTCCCTTTCTGGATGCTGTTATGCAGCAATTCCACCACTTAAGTCCGAGTCTGAAACTTCACATTCAAGTGAAAGACAGATAACAACATGAAAGAAACTTATGTTTCAAGAGTTCTAAACAAACAAGGTAATGGTTAGTTTTCTGAATGTCTATCCTTTTGAAAACTGGTAGATGAAATTTGTTAAAAATGTTGCAAGAAATAGGGAAAATAAGGGCTAAAGTCAAGGGGCCTGCCAAGGTAATCCCATCGTGAACTCTGGAGGAAGAGGGCTTGGTTTCAAAACTGCATCCATCAGATTTCCTTCCTTCAAAT